TAGCTTATGCATCGAGGCAGCTGAAGCCTCATGAGGCGAAATATCCCACGCATGATTTAGAGTTGGGGGCAGTAGTGTTCGCTCTCAAGATTTGGCGTCACTACCTGTATGGGGTTCGATGTACGATATACACGGACCATAAGAGTTTGAAGTATTTGATGGATCAGCCCAACCTAAATATGTGTCAGAGGAGGTGGTTGGATGTGGTCAAGGATTATGATTGTGACATCCTGTACCACCCGGGCAAAAGCTAATGTGGTAGCCGATGCATTGAGCCGCAGGGCGGAGAGCACTCCATTGCGAGATGTATGTCTGAGACTGACTGTGATGACTCCAGTATTGGATGCTATTCGTGGGGCATAGGCGGAGGCTGTGAGATCCAAGATGCAGAAGAAAGAGCAGGTCGTTGGGTTAATTTCAGAGTTCGTTAAGGATGGACGAGGACTTCTGATGTTTCAGGGTCGGATTTGGGTACCATTCGTGGGCGGTACGCGTATTACTTTGATAGAAGAGGCTCATAGATCGAAATTCTCGATCCATCCCGGTGCTACGAAGATGTATTTGGATTTGAGGAAGGAATACTGGTGGCCCTGTATGAAGAGAGACGTCGCCTGGTTCGTTGAGAGGTGCTTGACCTGCCGTAGAGTTAAGGCCGAACACCAGAGACCGCATGGAAAGTTACAGCCATTGGGGATTCCTGAGTGGAAGTGGGAAAAGATTACTATGGATTTCATCACCAAATTGCCGAGAACTGCCAGGGGAGTCGATGCAATTTGGGTGATTGTGGATAGGTTGACGAAGAGTGCACACTTCCTTGCCATCAGCGAGAGTTCATCAGCGGAGAAGTTGGCGGAGATATATGTGAGAGAAGTAGTATCTCGGCATGGAGTGCCGATCTCGATTGTTTCGGACCGTGATGTACGTTTCACTTCCAGGTTCTGGAAGAAATTCCATGAGGAGCTGGGTACTAAACTGCATTTTAGTACCGCATACCATCCCCAGACAGACGGTCAGAGCGAGCGGGCGATTCAGACACTGGAGGACATGCTTCGAGCGTGTGTGTTAGATTTCGGGGGTAGCTGGGATGCGTATTTACCCTTGGCAGAGTTTTCCTACAACAACAGTCATCATTCGAGCATTGGTATGCCACCTTTTGAGTTGTTGTATGGTAGGAGGTATCGGACCCCCATTTGCTGGGGAGAGGTGGGACATAGAGTGATGGGCAGTACAGAGATCATACTTCAGACGACAGAGCAGATTCAGCAGGTTAGGCAAAGGTTATTGGCCGCCCAGAGCCGACAGAAGAGTTATGCGGACAGGCGCCGGTCCGAGCTTGAATTTCAGGTTGGCGACTTCGTTCTCCTGAAGGTTTCTCCTTGGAAGGGAGTGATCCGGTTCAGGAAGAGGGGCAAGTTGGGGCCCCGGTTTATAGGTCCATTTCATGTGATTGCAAGGGTAGGCCGGGTAGCCTATCGATTGGAGTTGCCAGCAGAGTTGGGACAGATCCACAATACTTTTCATGTATCGCAATTGAGGAAGTGTATAGCCGATGAATCGGCAGTGGTTCCATTAGAGGATATTCAGGTGGATGCGAGCCTGAATTACGCCGAGAGACCAGTGGCCATCAGGGATCGGAAGATCAAGGTTCTGAGGAACAAGGAGGTACCTCTGGTGTTGGTTCAGTGGCAACACCGGAAAGGATCGGAAATGACTTGGGAGCCGGAGCGTGAGATGCGGGAGCAATATCCGGAGTTATTTTCAGAGTGAGACTTCGAGGGCGAAGTCTAATCCTAGTGGGGGAGAATTGTAATAGCCCGGAATCTCAGGTATTGTTTAAATTGTGTTTTGGGGTGTTATAAGAGGGGACTCGGCGAGTTGGAGCCAGACTCGCCGAGTAGGATCGCAGACGTGGTCGCGGGTTCGCGACTGGACTCGACGAGTCCAGATATGGACTCGGCGAGTCTGCGCTGTTTAGCGAAAACCCTAGCCGTTCAGATTTGGGACGTATAAAAGGGACTTATTGGCCGTCATTGTTCGTTTTAGCCTTCTGAGAGGAACCCTAAATCGATTGTGTGCATCTAGAACAAGGTTAAAGGCCATTGGTGATCTTGAAGGAGTTGTTGTGCAAGGAAGAGAAGGGCTTGGCTAAAGGAACAACAAGGGAGTCACGTTCTGAGGATTGGGGACACAGAGAGTACATCATCCATGTAAGAATTCGAGTCTGCTATGCTATGGTGATGTGTTTAGAGGATTAGGGTTTATGGAACCCTTTTTGTAGATAGATTGAATGTTACCCTAGTCCCCCAAACGATTGTAACCCCATGTTGGGACCTTTGGAGGTCCAGAATGTCCCATGCCTATGCATTTCGGGAAGTGATGAAGGTTTTGGATTGAAATCCTTATGCCTTAGGTCAATATGTAAATTATAAGTCTTGGGGTGTAGCATGAGCACCGAAATGAGGACCTTACGTGATGGACCAGTCTAGGAAGGCCAGACCTATGAATGGTCGGAGCAATTCTGACCTTAGGAAACAGTTTGATCGACTGCATGGCATGGACTCGCCGAGTCCGATGAACAGACTCGGCGAGTAGCTTGGAGAATAACTGGGACTCGTCGAGTTGTTCTTCAGACTCGGCGAGTGGAGTCGGGGTGGCCCCGCGATTCTTCCAGGAGTAACTCGTCGGGTCAAGGAGGATACTCGACGAGTAGAAAGGGAATCTTAGAGGATTGGAGGACGACTAGACTCGCCGAGTCCGGTCGAGTTGACCGTGGACCGTTGACCAGAGTTGACCTATGTGTGATTCCTTAGGGTCAGTTAACTTGGAAGATAAAAGTGTTAATAAGGGATATATGATATTATAGGGAGTTTGTAGCTCGGCGGATCGAGTACGAGTGATTTCAGGAGTTGCTAGCTTTCAGTATCCACGAGGTGAGTCTTCTCACTATACTGTACCCGGAAGGGTTTGACTGTGTGACCGGAAGGTCGGATATGATATGTGATATATGTGCTATATGTGGTAAGTTAATTGTTATGCATGTTGTGTATGTTTATATGGGCCGGAAGGCAATATGTTATGGGCCGGAAGGCAATATGTTATGGGCCGGAAGGCGATTATGTTATGGGCCGGAAGGCGTTGTGTTGTGGACCGGAAGGTCAGGGCCTGGAAAGGCGTATATGTGTAAGTTGTATATTGGGGAACTCACTAAATATTTATGCTTACAGTTGGTATGTATGTGTTTCAGGTACTAGCGAGGACTGTGGGAAGGTGCCGACATGATGCGTACACACTGATTGATGTTTGAGATCTTGGGAATTTTATGATTTGTATTTCGACTTAAAACCTGGAATAATTATATTTAGTTGGAATAAAAATACTCTATTATTTGAAATGAAAAATTTGTTTGAAAATTTGCGTTGTTACAGAATTCATTTATAAAATATAATCTGCGTATATATTTCGCGCTTTTGATCAAATCGAATTTTCAAACAATTATAATATTATGTTTAGGTAGATGTTTTTTTATATTTATATAACATTATGTAACTTGTTTAAAATATCATTGGAAACAATTTGAAAAATCATGGGAGTTTAGTGAAAGGAAAATGCTTCTTTGATGGTCCAAATAGATTAAACCCGGACCGATTCAACTAAATATACCAAACTACATATTTTTTTTCTAGTGAAACCCAGTTTGTATATATTTTGTGCTTTTGAATCAAAGTGATTTTTCAAACAGTTATAATTTTAGGTTTAGGTAGATACTTTTTTATATTTATATAAAATTATGTAACTTATTTATAATATTATTAGAAATAATTTAAAAAAATCATGGGAGTTTCAAATGTTTGTTGTGAAAGGAAAATGATTCCTTTATCAGTCCAAATTGATCCAGCTCCAGTTCAACTCAATATACCCAACTACATAAATTTTTTTCTAACTGAAACACAGTTTAAACCTGAAAAAATTCGATTCAAAACCATTTTTGGAATTCTAAAAGTTAAATGGACACTTGCCAATATAGACAATCTCACCAAATAATACCTTCAAAATCCTACAAAGGTAGACATGAAGAAGTTCTCATGGTTTGGTCCCTTTGAAACATTTCACAACCTTTCATATTTATAGAAGAGGAAACATTCTCTTGTTTACTCTCACCATCGATGTGTGATGAAGACATTGTAATAAAACACCATTTCTTGTTTATACAACATTATTTAACTTATTTAAAATATTATTGTAAAGAAATTGAAAAGTCATGGGAGTTTCAAATGAAATGTGGTGAAAGGAAGTGAAAAAATGGGGTTTCAAATGCATGAGATTCAAGAAAAAATGCTAGCTTTATAAGTATGTATGACGTGTTTGACATTTCTTTTTAATCATCTTTTTACTTTTAACTTTTCAAAAAAAGTTAAAAATTACTAAAAGTTGTTTGGCAATTTAAAAAGATCTTTTAAAACCAACTTTTAGCAAGAAGGAAAAGTTGGCTGGAGAAAAGATAGAAATTCCTATCTTTTTGTGACTTTTAGCTTTTATCACTTAGAAGTCATAAAAGACAAACAAAACACATTTTAAACACCATCTTTTACACAAAGTTCTTTTATAAAAAATCCTTTTACAAAAAGGACTTTTATGTTCAAAAAATCATCCCAAACACACCCTTAAGAGACCAAAGTATCTTTAAACCACTATTTCATAAACTTTAGCGTCAAAAATCTCAACAAAACCTATGGGCAATCACTGTTCAATGAAATGGTCATCTTTAATATATCTTACTATCTTATTATACAAACCTTACTATTTCCAAAAATAAATTTAAGACATCCAAATTATTAAGCTTATAGTACAAATAAACAAGCCCATTTTATATATTTTTTAATTCCTTTTTCATTTAAATTTAAAAAAAAAATGCAAAAATACAAATCGTCCGCATTCCCCACGTGGTATTATCTCTAGCCAAACTAACATTTCACAATTCCCTCGTATCTCTCCAGTTATTTCGGATAATCAGGATCTTAAAAATCGCATCTACAAAAACTGACCCACTACCTCTTCTAAAAACCCTTCCTCTTCTACATAGTTGCTCTTTTTTCTCCGACTGCTTCCATCAACCACTACCTACGATCTACTTCCATCTCCTTCTTGAAGACGGAAAACCACCCACCTCCGATGCATAAAAAATGTACCGTCACAAACATTTATCGACGCCCTCACCGTCTCCACTCCGGCTTACCCCATCAACTTTCATCACTTTCACCTTAAAATGGTATCTGAAAAATGAAAATGCTTTCAAAATTTGTCCTAACGTAATCAGTTCCTTTTCTCTCTCAATTCTCAAACCTCCGCCGCTTCACTTATCCACATCGACTCTTGATCTTTGCATCTTCGGCGCCATCCTCCTACACCTTCACTTATTTTTCGCTACCCTCCTACACCTCCGGCGCCACTGTCGCATAATAGAGGTCACTTCAGGTATGTATCATTCTTCAAATTTTCCTTTTTTCTCTTCCCTAAATACGTAGAAATCACCGATTTATGGATGAAATCAGGTTATTATTTGCCGATTTCTGCTAAAATCGATCATTAGTTGCTTCTATTTTTCATTTTTTTCCTTTGTTCCGACTCATCATTGACTTTTTCTGTATGTTGACCTATCCATAAATTTCTCTCTCTTGCTTGGCTTTCTTTATCCGCTAATTTTTGGTGAGTTTTGATTCTTGGAACAGGTAAACATTTGAAGCTGAGTTATTTGAGCCCATATCTAGAGTCATTGGCACCAATAAACATGTGGTTTGACAACCTGGTATTAATCGTAAGAAAGCCAACTGAAAAGTATTGGAGGGTGGAGCTCATGAAATGAAGTAATATGAAATACTTGAACGTACAGGGAAAAGAACCTTTGATCTTGTTCATGTATTTCTTTACCTTCATTACTTTATTTGGTATAAAATCATATGTTGTAAGATTTTTTATGGTTACATACATATGTTATAGCCAAAATAAACAAAAGGAGCCCGATGATGCAACCAAGGGAAAGGATGTCTTTAATGAAAAGTCGCCTCCTCTTGAACTTATGGCTGCATGGTCGCATCAGATATAGGAATCAAATCACCTACTACTATCCTCGGCTTGGTAAATTCCACAAATGTTATTGCTAATAGTTACTAGATTACGCCTTTTACATCTATGGTTAACTACCATCTTATTAATTTTCAATTGCAGGAAAATCCATATTTGTGGAAATGACTCAGTAGATAGGAGCAACCTCCTGAAGCAATCGAGATTAGTAACATGAGTTAAACCTAAAAAACCTGAATACATGTACTTTTTTTTTCTTATGTATGTTTAATTTCTAGAATGGGCTGATTTTGGAAAGTTGTTCTTGCAGAGACCAAAGGTTGAACACAAGCTGATGGTCCTAGGATGCATGTAATTTTTGGGACTTTATAGTGTCTCTTTCAATCCATTCCCTCTCTTTTTTGTATGTACACTAATATTTATAATCTCTAGAGTTACCTTTTGACATGTTATTTCTCTTTCTGTTATGGATGTTTGCTCCCAGGAATTTAGAAAGAAGAATCGTGGAAGCTGAGATGAAAATAGCACTAGCAAAAAGTCAAGATTTCCTCATAAACAACCTGGTTTCTCTTCCACACCATTTGAAGAGCTTCAAGTAAGAAATTTGTTATTTGTTATATTTCCGGTCAATACCCGTAATGAACATATATACAAAACTTATGAATCTGTATTTTTTTCTCAACTTTTGAATAGAAAATAGCATTGCCTGAAACAAGTAATGCTGACTTACAGAAGCAACTTCAAGATCAAGTCAACCTTTAACATTTGACTAAACAAGCAAATAAGAAAAGGTCAACAGTTTCTTATATTGTGTTTGGAAAAAATTTAGAATGGCCTAATGTAACAACCCGAAGTTATCCATCATCGAAACCCGCTCCGCCCGTAAAATCCGCCTTTATCGATTCGTCCTGTTTTCGTTTTTAGGCTAAGTTATTTAAACTTATAAGTTTATTTTAATCTCATGAGTGTTCAAATCCCTTAGAAAGTCATGAAAATGGCCCAAAATCATTAATGTGAAAATTTCTAAATTCAATCCCGCCGGATTGCGATAACTTAATCGGGTGCGACCAAAAGCCCCGTTTAATGCCGATATCGGGTAGAATTCCACCGTGTCCCAATCTTGGAACCTATTTAAAGAGGATCAAGCTTCCATTTGAAGCTTTTTTTTTCTCTCTCTCTCTACTCTCTCTCTAACCTCTCTCCTCAAATCAAATCTAAGGGTCCAAAATCATCAATTTAAGGCTTCAAATCGTCAAGGTAACTTCCCTAACTCCTAGTATATCATCCTTGTAACAGCCCGTCATTTCAAGTTAGTAAAAATCGAGTCCTGTAACTTCTTTGAGAAAGGAATTAGAATATCATCGAAAAATGAAGTATTCAAAAACTCTATTTGGAGTACGCTATGTGGTAGGTATCGTCTTAAGGTTTCCAAACATATAAATAATGCAAAAATCCGAGTTATAACGAAGAAGTTATAACCTATCTAAGTTTTCCGACAAAAACCGGCAATACGAAGTTGCGTAAAAACGCAAAGTTTCAATAAAACACTTTCTGACCTTAGGTGTCTAAATGAAAGTCATAGATATCGTTAAACTACAAACATGCATAAAAAGAACGCTCAAATCGGACATCGTATGAATAAGTTATGAATTTTTAAAGAAATTCCTTAATCACATCATTTTAATAAATAAATAATAAAAATAATTTCAGAATTTGCCAACGGAATCTAAATGAAAGTTATAGATCGTAGTCTCGCCTTCGCGGGGATATAAAGAACGTCAAAAACGGAGTTCGTATGAAGGAGATATGAATTTTTGAAGTTTGATAAATAATATAATTTTTATTAAAAACTCGGTATTATCCGAAGGGGAGTCAGCCTAGGGCCGTAGTACGCGCCGCGTACCCTCGTACGCCCCGCGTACTCGAGGCCACGGCCTCGGATCGTCCACGTCGCCCCTATGCGAGCTACCCCCTCCCCGTCCCGTCCGAAGCGTTGCAGCCGAGTTTGCGGTCAGCAGTGACGTCCCGTACGCGCCGCGTACGGGATTACGCCCTGCGTACGCATGCCTCTCAGCCCCCTATAAAAGGGATGTGAGGGTTCCCGGGAAAATGGCTCATTCTCTCTCCTTTTTCTTGCGTTTCACCTCGTTTTCCGTGCTCGCACTACCCCGAAGCCCTGGTCATTTTGTGCAAGTCCCGAAGGTCGATTTTACTCCCGAGAAATCCTGAGGAAAATCCATTTCTCGAGACGAAACTCTGCCCGGTTTTCCATCTTGCTATCTTCAAACTTTCAAGTGAGTTCATACCCCTTTCAAACACACTTTAAATACATTTTAAATGCTTTTATACTCTTTTAGGGGGGGGGGGGAATACAAGTAAACATACGGTTATTATCGTGTATTTTATAAAGTTTCGCTTCGCTCGTTTTACCGAATAAATCACTTGGAACTCATTATTATTATGGAAAACTCTTGTCATACTTTATGTGCATTAGACATATGCAAAGTATATAATGATTTCAAAGTACCTTTCATTGTTAAGTCGTTTTATACATTCTAAACTTATGATTTATGTTTTGTCAAACATTGTGAAAAAGGATAAACTTTGCATACAAAAACTATCACTTTAATACAGGCTTAGTTGAGAATCCATGAGACGTATATATCTTCAAACGTTACTTTTCTTTATTAGAAAGTAATGCTGCAAGTCCTGTCTATAACCAGAGTCTCCCGTTCGGAGAACGTGTCAAATGTGTATAGATCTATACGGGAAGTCATGATCCCGCGCCCTGACTGTTAGCTACACTCCGTCTTTTGGGGTGACAGTTTGTCATAACGCTACGACGCCTGAAGAACGTCGCTACAGGCATATTATGTGTAGTATGGTTATAAAACTCATCGGATATACAATTATTATGGTATTATGCTTTTATGAACGAGTGGCTATTAAAACTGTTCTTCATCTAACAAACGCGATCTTCATATAGCTTTATTATAAAACTATGACACAACTTTTAAGAATGTCGTTTTCTTGCGATTTTCGGTCTTAGAGACTGCCAATCATGTTAGGAAAATAAGGGTTTTTCCTGTATACAAACCAAACAACTAATAGGAAGATAAGGGATTTTCCTGGTGCAGTTATTTAAAACTTATGACACGAACATTCATATGCATTTCATACCTTTAATAAGAGAATAAGGGTTTTCTTGGAAAACACAACAAAATCATATCTCAACCATTAGGGAAAATATGGGATTTTCTGGATCTAATACATTCATTTTCAATACAACAAGTCATAACTCTTCACACTTGAAACACTGAGTTTTCTGGAAAACATACACCCATTTTTGGAATGGCATCCAATTTTTCTAAACTACTTATGAACTCACCAACTTAATTGTTGACACTTTTTCTTTGAATTAACTTGTATTCTCAGGGAACCGCTAAGCAGGTTTGGGAATCAACTTTTGGGATTAACGCACAGACGTTAATTACTTCTTTTGAATGATGTTTATGTATTTAACTTTTGAACATGTAATGAGTACAATTATGTAAACATCTCGGAAACTTTAATTTATATGGTGTTGTGTACTTTCCTTTCTATGAACTGTTATGATACTAAATATGACGTTCTCCGCCCCCGAACGTTTCCGCCATTCTGGTTTGGTGGTGTGACAATCCTTAGCATTAAAATTCGAGTTTAAATCATGATTTAAGACCTTGTTCATGTGTTTACGGCCCTGGAACATGCTTGGGCCGTAAACACATATAAAGGGGTCATTTATGCTTTAAAACACTTCCAAAACACCATTGAGGCTTATATATGGCTTGTAGAATTATGGAATTGGACTTAGAACACCTTGAATATCAATTTAGAGGAGTAAACATGAGTTTACTGCCCAAGAACATGCTTGGGCCGTAAACTCATCTCCATGGGGAGTAAACTCCTTCTAAGGTGTTAAATTGCCACTTATACACCTCCTAAGCCTTGAACAAAAATCTAGAAGCAACCACAAACAACTTAGAAGCCTAAAACATAAAGAAATCAACCCCCTAAGGAGTTCACGACCATAAGGTGGAGTCATGGGCCGTAAACTCCTAAAACCATGTCAAATGATGCCCAAATTTCACCCCTAGACTTGTAAAATAGCATAAAATCACATGTGATTAATTAAGGACCACCAAAACATCAAGGATTTAGTGTGAGGGGATTTTACAGCCCTAAAATCCAAGTTTACTGCCGTAGACTCCAATAAATGGTCCATGTGTGAGTTAAATCCATTCTGATGCCCTAGTTGTGATCCTAGCTAATTTTCCCAAGTGATATAAAGCCATTTAGCAACCAAAAGCACCCCACCATGAGTTTACGGCCGTAAACTTATGGGGAATATGTCATTAGGGCCGAAAACACTCCTAAGAGCTTACTCTTGAAGAGTAAACTCCATATCCAATCCTTATGTGTCCTCAAATGCCACCTAGGTCCTTCCAAACACTTGTAATGAAGTGTTTTCGCATCTAGAAGCATATGTCCTCATCTAATAAATAATTTAAGTTCTAATTAGATACAAATGTGTATCTTTTCATAATACATAGGAATCTTGTGCATTTGCAAACTCAGAACTGACGTTTAGGATCCAAACTGACGCGTTCCTCAACCGGTGAGTTCATACCCATACCTTTTTTCCGTGTTTTTCAAATGTTTTTCAAATGTTTTCAGGGGGGAATACAAGCAAAAGTACAAGGAAAATCTTGTACTTAAACTTATTTTCAGCTCAAATGTTTCATTTTATGTATGTTTTCAATATCGAAAATCGTGTTAACTAATGTTTCGAATTGCAGGATAAACTGTTAGACTAAACCCAAATTTCTTTAAAAAGTATTATAACTATATTACATTTTGCAAAAGAAATCATACTAATCATAAACTAAGACTAATACTAATAGAATACGAATACGAATATAACCAATAGGATAGTACGAATACGAATACAAATATAACCAATAGGATAGTACGAATACGAATACGAATATAACTAATAGGATAGTACGAATACGAATACGAATGTAACCAATAGGATAGTACGAATAAGATAGAACGAATACGAAATACGAAAGAACCGTTAGGATAGAACGAATACGAATGCAAATATGAAATAATGCCTTTGGATGACGCCAAGACTTCGGAAATACGGTTATTGTATGCCTTGAGTGTCACCAGAGATTCGAACTTAATTCAAAAGTACGCCTCTAAACCTCTACTGAGATTCGAATACATACGCCTTAGAATGTCGACAGAGATTCGAAGATACGTCTAATGTACCCTTTTGGAAATCACCAGAACATCGAAAATACTGTTAATGTATGTTTCTGAGTGAATCCAAATATTCAAAAATACAACTAAGTATAGTAGGTAATCGGCGTTCGAATGTAGGATAACTAAGGTATCAGAATACTTAACTAATATTATAAGTATGGTAGATACTAGTATATCGAAATCTAAGCTATGAACTAATCACAACACTTAGGAAAATATGGGATTTTCCTGGGATAACATAACAACTCGTAAACGAATTAAGAAATGAATCGGTAACTAAACTATTAGGAAAATATGGGATTTTCCTGGGGTAATATACATCATGTAATCGAATTGGTAACAAAAGAATAACTAAACTGTTTTACATAAGAAAATATGGGATTTTCTTGGATAACAACTTTTTCAGAAAACTAAAAGGGAACTCATTCTTTTCAAAACAAAACCGCTTATGAACTCACCAGCTTTATGCTGATTTTCAAACTGCTTGTATTCTCAAGTCAACATTAGACAGGTACACTGCCATCTTTTGGAGAAGACGGAGCGTTAGAAGACTCGTCTCTACTTTTGTTCATATGATATATGTATATAACACTTGTATAACTTTTCTTTCAAACAAATGTAAACAATTCTATGTAATGTAATGTTTTGTGTTTACTGTGTTACTATGCACATTGGATTTGATACTCAACGTGGAGTCAACCCCGGAAATGTTTCCGCCTTCGGTTTTCGGGGTGTGACAGATTGGTATCAGAGCCCTTGTTTATAGTGAATTGGTATACCAAAGCTTACATGGTATAAGACTATAAACAT